ACGTTTACATGGACAACAATACTCCGATTTTAACACGATTAAGACAATACTCTGATTAAGAATCCACAAAGTAAACAGAGATTTTTGATTACCTTTATCTAGCTAAAGTCATAATCGAAGTAAACACTAATCAAATTAAGACATTTGGAGTATTCCTATTTTAGTTGCATTACTGAAGTGCCATATAGACATGTTAACACCTTAATCACATTATTACCGTCGTGTAGGACTTTTCGCCGCATTGTGTGACAGGATACACACACGGCAGTGCTCAACCGTTTGATGGCAAATAAAAGAGCTTCAACACCGCCGTCGTCTGTATGCACATACAAATAATTAACTGCACTTGAAGCTTTCATAAAATTAAAAATGAAACACCCAAAACTGTACATGGCATCATCACGAAGATGATGTTTATACGTGAAATTCCGGAGGGGACGTAATGACGTGTGCCATTAATCGATCTATGTACTATAACATGTAAAATGGGAACATGAAAGGAATAGTCTAAAAGCAACTATGTAAACACAATAAACATAATATTGTCTTATTTAGAATACGGTAAATAATTAGATTACTGATGTCCATGTAAACGTAGTCAGTGATTATTAACTAATCAGTATGTCAGGGGTTCTCAACTCTGGCCCTCAAGGTCCACTGTCATACAGAGGGTACGTCTCAATCAGCTTCATAGTTCACTAGGTTGTGAATTAATATATTGTGTACACGAATTCAGGCACTGGTAAGGACAGTGGCTCACTACACACTGCTGACTGTTTCCGTCCTCATTGTACAACATCACTACTGACATCTATGCACAACAGTAAAACTTTTTTAATGCTATTTACAGCACATTATGATAAATACTTTGTTAAATGTATGTGCAAGATTTCAGTCATAAATAAATATTTGCTAGATTAGACATTACCTGTTTAGTGATGTATGTTTATGCTGAGATATAATATTGGTTTGTGTTTTAAAATCTATCACGTGTCATTTTGTAGTGAATTATCTCTTAGATTTGAGCTTCAGAACTTCCTATAAGGGAACATAGTGAGCATCGATGCTTCCTGGTTTTCACAGCTTTTTTAGAGCGCAAACTAAATGTTGTGATTGAGACAGCCCTTAACCACTGACTGCTGAGCAAGGGACCTGAGTGATTCACAGCCAGAGTTTAGGTCCACACCTGATCACACTCACCTACTTTTACTATAGTATGGTTCAAAAACACTATAGTATTTACTAGAGAAATGTTATTACAATTTCTATGGTAAATTTACTGTAAATTACTATAGTATTTTTTTCACAATTTACTATAGTACTTTTACTATAGTATGGTTCAAAAACACTATAGTATTTACTAGAGAAATGTTACTACATTTTCTATAGTAAATTTACTATAGTATTTTATAGTATAGCACACACATGAATTAAGGTTAAGTGTCAGTTTTATTTTCTAAGTGCCTAGTTTTAAGTTCATACTTGTTTTGCTGCTGATACAGTATTGTGGGTACATATTATCCATCATCCAGAGAGACAGCTCCACTACACTTAAGTTTCTCTTTCCCTGAACTCAGGAGATTTCAGTTTCCTAGTTCTGTTTTTGTGTCTGCAAATGACAAATAACAAAACACTGACTAAATTTCAGACTCAGAATGACCCTCCAAAAATTACAGAGTTACAGAGAAGTACAAAAGTTACAGAGAAGACAACACATTTACAAATGGCAGTAATACTGCATTGTAATTACTACACTTGTACTGCATGACTGTAATCCACTTTGCTTTTATATGCCCTTCCCTCACTAACTTTAATCTGTGTCATTGACTTGGTTACGTATCATTGCTTGCATTGCATAAATGTGCACACTACCCATGCAATGGTTTTAATCAGAAAATGCTAAACCAGGTGTTCCCTTTCAAAAACGACTCTCAATGCTGCGCTCATACCGCTATGGGAACACCTTTCTGTGTGACAAGTTGTGAAGCAAACATGCCAATGCAGAAACAATCCAGTGATGCGTGCCTCCTTGTTCAAGGCCCATCCCTGATTATGATACACATGAGTTTTGTTTTGAGTGTTTGGGGGAAGAGGATGCTGCCTTTGCGCTTCAGCATGGTGATTGTGAGTTAAACATGTCATTTCCTGTTGCCAGTAAGTGGCACTACAACTATAACCGAATATGGGCATGCAGATGTCTTCAGGCCAGGACTCTAATCAAATGTGAAGTTTGATGCAGATTGGACATTGTATGCATGAGTTACAACAACTTCCTGTTTCATGGTATTAATAGCATGCTTTAGTATGTTTATAACACGATGGCTTATTTTAGTGCGTTGTTAATAGTGCATCACAGTGTTAATCATGCCTCTTCCTGTTGACAGTAGGTGGCGCTATGACAGTAACTGAATATTGGCATGTAGATGTAGGCCAGGACTCTTATCAAATTTGTTAAGTTTGGGGCAGATTGGACATTGCATGCCTGAGTTACAGCAACTTCCTGTTTCATTGTATTAATAGCATGTTTCTAGCATGTTGCTAGCCTATTTAACACTTGCTAACGCTTTTTAATATGTTGTTCAAGTATTTGCTATTGACTGTTCAAATGCAGAGTTTTGCGCATCGTGTGTGTGTGTGTATGTGTGTGTGTGTGTGAGAGAGAGAGAGACAGCATCACATCACAGTGGAGTCAGCTGTCTTAACCGTGGCTTATTAGCTAATGTATACATTTACGCATGCATACCTCGAATATGAGTAAGAGATATTTAAAACATAATACAAGAGAGAGAAAACATAGTGAGGTAGATATGTGGGGGCGTGTTAGAACGAGCCGTTTTAGGGGGGTGTGGCAGAGGCTTAACTTTGATAAAGAATATCTCTTTGGTTTTGAGACTTTAGTCTTTGCAACTTCAGGGATCTTATCTATGCACAATCAGCTTGTAACACTCCAAAGAGAAAGGAAAACTTGAAATCGCATCATATGACCCCTTTAAATAAAGGTTTCTCAGTGACACATTTAGGGTTGTGTTTTTCAGAGAGATGTCAGGGAAGTATTTATATATGAATTTGCATCATCCCTGCAGGCATTTCCTTTTTCCAATAGAAAGAAAGGATCAAGTGGATCTTTGGTCAGACAATTTTTGTATATTAGCATAAATAAATTATATAAATATATATTAACAAATGCATTTATAAGTATTATTTTAAATAATATTCAAAGGATATATGCAATGACATTCACAGATGTTTGACATTGATAAGATTATATAACGATTTAAACATGCAAAGCTGCATGTCAGGGTGAAACAAGTCTTTGTTCCACCAAAAAAGGAAGCTGTCATGTTTGTTTAAATGAACTTTCCATATTCAGTGGTCATTAACATTTATTTAATATTCATTTTAAAAAATTGTGAAAATATTGAACAAATGTATAAATTTCAACTTTGCACCTTTGTCTGTTAGGGTGCTCATTCGAAGACACTTCACACCGAGTGACCTTTTCTCAAAATCCCAGAAAATGGCTAAATCAACCCAAACCCAGCAGATTTAACACAATAACTGGAAAATCTAATTTACCCAATAGTATTAAAATTTTGTTAATCTACCAACACAATGCCCCAAAAGACCCATTGTGTTTGTTCACATTAACAAGATTTGAGTATAGTATTAAGATTTTGTATTTAATAAACTAAAATGACAAAAATATTTATTAGGATGTCTACTCCATTACTTGGGCAAACATCGGCTGTGAAGAAGAATTGTCACCCAGTAGCAATATCTATGTAGTGTGCAAAATTCACCACCAAGATTAATTAATTAAAATTTAATTGAAATACGGAAAAAACTCATAGTTTGTTTGCATAAACATCATATTGACTTAATTACACACTAGCATGTGCTAATGTAACCATCAAAAACTATCACTATACAAAACAAACACGCCCATACCCCAACAGGACCTCGCCCCAATTTTGATAACTCCGCCCCACACATGCATACACAACCCTGGCAATGACGATGGCAGAATCTAATAAACCTGCCAGCTGCAGCATATTCAAGCAAAAGCCAACACAGATTAGTTGTGTGAAACAAAGCAACATTAAAGTAATATCAGCTGATATCCGTCCTGTGCACTCGCTGAGCGCTCTCTTCTCCCTGTCATTACTAGACACGCCCCTTACTGCTGATTGGCAGCGTTTGAGTTCATGTAACTTTCGGTAATATTTGAGTTAAATGAACTAATTTTATTTAATTAATTTCACTGTTGGGTTTTACAGTGAGTTCCCCAACAAGCTGCATGATTTCAGGCATCATTGACGATCAAAGGTTTGGGACAGGTTATGAGATTAGGCATATAGGAATTTGTTCAATATTTTATATGTTGTAATTTTTCTAGTCCAATTTGTGTCTGTTGTAGAACGATAATTACACATGTCTGCCTGACTCTTTTAAACAATCAGACTGTTTTGACATATCGTTCTTCAGTCTACACCCCATAAGATCTAAAAATGTATGTATGAGTGAATTATTACAATTCTACACATTACAAAGAGTTTACAATTTAACATAGAGAGAACAGAAAATGACAATATAGTGTCCGCTTTAGGAGCATCAGGGCATACAGTATATGCCAAGTAAAAAATAAATGTAAAAATGTATCATATAATGTGTCTTATATGATTTTATAATATAAAATGTATTGATAAGAAATATGAATTCTATCTCTTGCACACTTTGAGTAATATATACATACATATATACATTGTACTGTATATCCACCAAAACAATCAATAACAGATATTTAATTAAGAGGTCATCGTACTATAAAAAACATACTGTAAGTTTTAGAGTTTAAAACTTCCTTTTTAAATCATTGACAGATTGTATTGAAACCCCTTTAAAACAAATTGCACAAATAAAAAGGGAATGGCAATTAACACACTATATTAAACATGACAAAACTTCAATAATCTTTGTTTAATTTACAACAACAACAGACAGTTTGTGAATGTCTCAGTAGAACGTTATTTGTAATATTAAATTGAATTATTTCAACGCATACATTGCAAACATGGAATATGGATCAACAGTAATACTGCAAGGTTAGGACGAATCCAAGGGTCCTGATCAGAGAGTGGGCCCGAAAAAACCTGGGGCCCAGAAACCATAGCAGCGCTCCTGGGTGCAATATGTTAGTTACCATGTTAATTAATGCCTAACTCTGTGATGTGTAAAATGTATTTTAATCCCAGAACATTTCTCAAATTCTTTCAACAATTCAAGAATCCTATGAATTTGCTGATTGTTTATACAAATTAGCAGAGACTGTCTGAATTTGCAAACACTAGTGTTGCCAGAACTTTTTCTTGTTGCCATAATGTCCCTTTTCAGTTGTTTCAATGCCATTGTGAGAATGGCTGTGGCCAGAGGACAGCCTTGACGCAGTTTTCTGTAGTCATTATTGGAGCTGGCCTTGGGGAGGAGATTCTCCAGAATGCTGAAGTCCTTTGGAGGTGTAGGGGTAATTTGTTTAAGAGACGAGAGACATCGCTTCAGGAAAGACATCTTGATTTTTTGGGAGCATTTTGCAAAAGTTACACAAATGCGATCACCACTTGTTACCCTTTTTTTCCCCCTAAAAGATGATTTTAGAAAAACCTCAAGGCGTTTGGCTAAAATCTGAGCAAAAATCAAATAGTCAATGTTGAAACAATGCATATTGTTTGAGACAGGCAATGGTTTTACGAAACGTTTCGGAACATATTTAGACTTCAACATCATGTTGTAGTTTATCTTTAAGATTTCTGTCAATGGAAGGTCATTCTTCTTGTAGTCATAAACACTAAGTTTATCAGGAGTTTGTTGTTGTGAGTCAGGTAAAGATCTGATGGCATCCAGTATTTCGGCACCATTTATTTTTCCTGCTCTTCTGTCTGGAGCTCTACGGTATTTAAATTCAATTACCATTGAGGCAACTTCCGGCATTTTATATTCCAGCAGTACTGGAACTTTGATATCTAAAACTAGAGGACCGTGATCAGAGATTTTCTTCTTTCCGTTTGTGGATTTTCTCATTTTTGCTTGGTGATTCACACATTTAATGACATAATGTTCTATGTTCGTTGGCATGAAAAACATATCTAACCTCGAGTGACTCTGATTCTGAGATCGTGTGAAGCCTTCTTTCATTGGATGCATTAATCCAAATGTATCTTTGAGGCTCAGAGAATCGGTGAAATCTTCTAGAATACTTCTAAGTGAGGATTGGTAAGTTTGATCTCCTGCTGATCTCCTATCAAAAGTCGGGTCTAGTACTGTGTTGAAGTCCCCACCAACCACAAGCACACCTTTAGTGTTAATAGTTGTCAAGTAGTTTCTCAATCTGTCCAGCATTCGTCTGTCTGCCCTATGGTTATACACATTAACAAGAGTAAACAACTGACCATAGAGACGACAGAAGAGTACAATATAGCCTCCACTGTAATCTTCATCATGGCATATATGGCAAAATATTGTTTCATTCTTTATTAAGATAGCGACTCCTTTGCTGCGAGGATGGTGGACAGTGAAGAAAGACCTCCAGCCTTGAATGCTCTCTAGTACTTCATAAGACTGTGGTCCAATGTGTGTCTCTTGCACAAAGACAACATTAGCCTTCAGGTTGATGAGTTCATCCAACACAAGTTGGAACTTGTAGCTTCTTTCTTCTGTGTACCTGATTCCCATAGTGTTCCAAGAGACAAAACGAAGTTGCAGATGCTTTGGTGGTTCCATTTTTTATGAAGAAGGTCTTATTGATGAATTAAAAAATAAAACATATTAATACAATTATTCTATATTACACTTTTATTAGTTTACTACTGACATAATAATGAATGGAATATCATTTTAGACTTAGAAATTTGGACGCAGAATTTATCCATCAAATAATTTAAAGTATTTCATAATGTGACAAAACAAAGAAAAAAAGTTCTCAAAATTCTCAGGTACAGAGTACGTTTATAAAAAACTTTAGTATTTATGGACATGTCACAAGCTACATTTTCTATCAGTTTGAGTATTCATCTCCATTAAATATAATTCAAAAGATCTATGATTATAAAGCACACATTATGATTTGATGTTAAATACGACTTCCACCTACTAAGTAGACAGAAGGAAAGGAGTGTGCATAAAGCAATATAGATTTCTGAATTAAGTTCACATTATACAGATTGCTTTGTAACTTTAATGAAAAACAAAATTTTTGTGTATGTTCTCCTTTGCAAATTTATATAGGCCTATATAAAATTTATAAAACTCACCTTTTTCATGCTGGGTGGTTGTGAGAAACTCAAAATTATTCGATCTTTCTTGTTTTGTTTTCATTGATTCACTCTCGTTTAACCTTAAGAAAAAGTATCTTAAATAGGCTACTGAATTGCCACTCCTACATGAGTGCATGAGTCAGCAGCAGTCTGAAATATGATCCTCATAAAAGGAACAGGTGTGGCACTTTGTTTATTTGCCAGTGTTTGAATATGCACATATAGTGCATTCAGAAAGTATTCAGACCCCCTTCACTTTTTTCAAATGTGTTATGTTGCAGCCTGATACTACAATTGTTTTTTTTCTCTCATTAATCTACACTCTGTACCTCATAATGACAAAGTGAAAACAGAATTTTAGAAATGTCTGTAAATTTATTTATTTATTTAATTTATTTAAACCCATAAATCCCAACATAACAAAATTTTAAAAAGTGAAGGGGGTCTGAATACTTTCTGAATGCACTGCATATGGTCAAAATATATGGACTGTGGCTTCTTAATAATAGCCTAGGTGTAGCTATTCCAGTAATAAAGACAACGAGAGACGAAGTTGAATTTATGGGTGCAAGATGTAAATTATAATGAATATAATTGATATTCCCTTAAAACTCGACTTCCCTTAAATTTCATTTTACTCATTGCACTGTGTGAACAGCGTGTGTGTGTGTTTGAGTTTGTTGTCTTGTTATACAAAAGATTACAGATGCAATAAAGTAATTGTATTATTTTAAGTTGTAATTATGGCGTACGTTTAACTGATAATGGCTGTAATAAAAATGGGTGTGAATCTACCGGAGTGTCTGTCTTCTTTGGTGGGGTTGTGTGTACACGTGCATGGATACATTATAATGTAAATAGCCTATAATTTGTTCAGGGTTGAGCGTAGATTGTTTCAATAGAGAATGGAAATGTGTCATCACAGCTTAATGCATTGTGGGAAATTAGGACACAGGTGTTGTAGAGACTGAGTAGAAGTGAATGTAGGCATTTTATATAATTTTATGTTTATATTTTTCTACTTAACCCTTTGGGGTCGACAAACGCGGATACGCGTTTTGTGGCATCTTCTCCTGATAACACCAAAAATAACTTAAATTACACTTTCAGTTTTGATCTTACAGATAAGAGCAATACATCAATTGAATCTGTAAATGGTCTACTTTTATTTGTATACACACATAATAACGATTGTATACACATATAATAATGAGATTGTGGGTTGAGGAGCGAGAGACGGGTCCGTCCCTTTTGCGTGCTCTCTTTCCAGATCAAGATGTCCTCTTGTCTGATCCCTAAGCGTGCACCAGCACTTCTTCTGCTCGGGAGGAGGACGATGTATCTCTTGTTTCTGGTTAGATGGATTGCGGCACCTCTTGAGCATTCCTTCAGCGATGATAATGCATACAAGGAACTACACAAGGTGATGACTCGTGTTACAGCTGGTGTCTTGCTGAATCATATCAGACTGTCTGACATTTCAAACACTTTTTTTTCTTGAACTAAACTAAGCATTTTTTCTCTTATTATCCTCTTTCACAGAACAAGGTATGACACAGAGACATGGATGTTCTTGAATCTATCAGTAAAGCTATGAGACCTCTGACTGAGTTTACTGATGCCCTGTCTGGAAAGGAGTATGTAAGTGTATCTTGCTTGAAGCCTGTGCTCCATCTTTTTAATGAAACTATTCTAGCACCACAGGATAATGACACTCAATTTACTAAAAGCATAAAAGAGAAAATCCTAGGGTTCTTGAATGAGCAACACGTTCTCACTCCCAACTCGTCACATATGAAAGCTTGGTCAGGATCCCTTGGCGTCATTTTTTAACGCACTGAGTACCCCTTTGGCGTCATTTTTCAACATGCAGGGAATCCCACAGACTTCTGACCGGAGCCTGCTGCGTTGAAATTTGACATGTTAGGGAAGCATACCGCAGCGATTACGGGAAATAGTAATAAAAAAGAATAGGCTACAATTACTTATTTATGGCAGGCGAGTCAATTGGCTCCCCGCAGGTCATATTTACCGAGCTCTCCTAGTGATTTTTTTATTGTAAAAATCCCTGGCTGTCTGATATCAAAGTGCCGTCTGTGAAACAGCGTTCAGCGGTGACTTTAACAACGCTCCATGAGTAGTATGCACTTTTTACTGTTTCCTGGGTAATGCTGGGATTTTTGTCGGAGGCTTGTTGATGTTGATAAACATATTTAATGTGCTGTGATTAATAACAGTTAATCATTTAGCAGACGCTTTTATCCAAAGCGACTTACAAAT